ATAATAATAATAATAATAATAATAATAATAATAATAATATTTAACTGGAAGGTGTGCATGCTGCAAAGAGGAGTGTCGACCTACAGCACAAAACAGGTTTCTACTCGGGAGTTCAGCTCCCGTCGCTGCCCTGCACTCCGAGTCCGGCCTTTCTTTCCGTCTCACCATTTTGCCTTCTGATAAATGAATGTTTTGTGACAGAGAGAACTCTTCATGGAAGCCCTTTTTGGACACGCGCCAAATATGTCCACCAACCCAAAAAGTTGAGTGCCTCCTGGCCCAGCCGCTCTCATCAAGGCTTTAGAACTTTTATTTTGCATCCCTTTCCTTATAATTTCCTAACCCCAAGTTTGATTTTTGCATTGCTATTGCAAATAGAGCCACTGTTTCTTTCCCAGGTATTCACAAGTCAGCCCAGAATAGGATATACACTCAGTTACAAAGGCTCGCACAGTATCGTGTCATCCAGCTCTCCACCCATCCACTTCAAGATGTAGTTGGGCCTGCCACCCACTCTCTTTTATTTATTTGAAAGGTCCTATACTGTGCTTCAGCCAAACATCCAAGGCAGTATACTAAGCTGCAAATACCCATTAATGCAGAGAGTCTGGACAAGGCCGCCCTCTTACACTCCTGCGCCAAATAGCAAGTCTTTCTGAGCTCAGCCTCTGAAGAGAAGTGCATCAGCTTGCTCTGAATTCTGCATCTTCCTTTCAGTGGTGTGGCAACATTTTGTTCAGCCTCCCTTTTTAAGCAGCCCATCCTGAATCATAGAAACATGGAAACAGAGCGAGTCAGAAGGGGTCTCCCTGGCCATCTAGTCTGACCCCGGCTCCAGCCGGCTCCGCTCCTGACATGCCCACCCTGTGCCTGTCCAGCCTATCGTGATCTTGCTGGAGGTTGGGCTGCAGTCACTCTTCACTTTTCATATTACTTTGTCTGTTTTGATAAGATTCTAGAATCAAGAAAATATACCAAAATGCAATTTGGGTTAAAATGCATATTTTAAGATAAGATGCATACTATTAGAAGAATGTGCATTTGCATGGACTAAAAAATAGTTTTAGATCTCAGATTGATGGGAGAATGGAATGGGTGAGACTTGAATGAGCTACTGTGAAAATGGCACAGAACAGAAATTGGCAAGGTGCCCCCCGAGAGGTGCCCCCCTAAACCTTCATGGCAGCTGGGAGGAACTGTTGTATTCCTGCCACCCGTTTTCATTTTAATGTGTAGAAGAAGATTGCTGGGTGGAAACAAAGGCACGGCTTAATGCGTGAATAATTGTCGATCAGAGTTGCCAATTGTTTTGATGCATCACCACACAGCACGCCAGGCAGCTGCTTAATGCATTGACAAGGGTATCTGGACATGGTCCACCAGTAATGCCTTTTGATAAATGCGCCATCCTTTGCATCATTTTTCTTTTTCTCCTCCAGTAAGAAGATGTTCATGGATATTGACCTTCACTGTTCGTGAAACCGATCTGGCAAAGAGCATGGATCCCGTGTGCTTTTCCACCACCCTTGGCCAAGAAGCCATTCCTCCAGACGTCAACTTCTCCATGCAGGCAAACGCCACAAATAATGAGACCCTCCCCAAATGTCCTGCTCCCTCCAACATCCGCTCGGTCTTCATCCCAATCATCTACCTCCTGGTTTGTGCCATTGGGCTCAGTGGCAACACCCTGGTCATTTATGTGGTTTTGCGCTACGCCAAGATGAAGACTGTCACCAACATTTACATCCTAAATCTGGCCGTTGCTGATGTCCTCTTCATGCTTGGCTTGCCCTTCCTGGCTACCCAGAATGCCATCTCCTACTGGCCCTTTGGGACCTTCATGTGTAGGCTAGTCACAGCCTTTGATGGCATCAACCAGTTCACCAGTATCTTTTGCCTGACTGTCATGAGCCTCGACCGCTACCTTGCCGTCGTTCACCCCATCAAGTCTACCAGGTGGCGTCAGCCAAGGGTCGCCAAGCTGATCAGTGTTGGTGTCTGGACTTTCTCCTTTTTGGTAGTCCTGCCCATCATTATATTTGCGGAGGTCCAGGAGGCTTTTCTTACCTGCAATATGAGCTGGCCTGACCCTGTCGAGGTATGGTCTGCAGTCTTCATCATTTACACTTCTGTGCTGGGGTTCTTTGGACCTCTCCTGGTTATCTGCCTCTGCTACTTGCTGATTGTGATCAAAGTCAAGTCATCTGGAATCCGTGTTGGCTCAACAAGGCGCCGGCGCTCAGAGAGGAAAGTGACCAGGTTGGTGGTCATCATTGTGGTGGTTTTTGTCTTCTGCTGGCTTCCCTTCTACATCGTGAATATTGTCAACCTGGTATTCATACTGCCCGAGGAGCCCATCCTGGTGGGCGTTTTCTCCTTTGTGGTGGTTCTGTCTTATGCCAACAGCTGTGCCAACCCTATTTTATATGGATTTCTTTCGGACAACTTCAAGCAAAGCTTTCAGAAGGTCTTGTGCCTCCATAAAGACAGTGGCATGGAAGATGGGGATCCAACTGAACTCCGACAGGAAAAGAGCAGCCGCCTGCGTGACGCCATGCTGCCTCAGAGGAGTGTTGAATCCAATGGGCATATGCAGACTAGCAAGGTGTGAACAGCGTGTTCCCCTCTGGGAAACCCTTTCTCTTGAGTTAAACCCATGATGAGGACAAACCCATCAGTGATGAAAAGGCCGTTGCCAAGTCTTCACATGCAATGGACAGAGATTGACTTTCTTTTCCCCGTCTGATTACAGATGGTCCAACTTAGCCATTCTTTCCAGAGGGTATCCTTGTTCATCTCTTGCAGCAAAGACAACCAAGAGTCTTGTGGCACCTTAAGGGACAAGCCACTGATTCTGGCACAAGCTGTTGCAGACTACGACAGCCCACTTCGTTGGACGCACAGATCACTAGGGAGAGTTTCAGATTATCTGCTATCTGAAAAATGACCCTGAAACTCTCCATAATATTCCATGCATCTCACAGATGAATTCATCAGTTTTCAAGGTGCCTGCAACCTCTTTGTGACTTTTGGTCATTCCTGGCATCATGAAAAGCTTCAGAAAGGCTAATCCAAAGGAAATACTGCAATGAACCTGTTATGGCTCCCTCTTGCTGACCTCTGTAAACTGAGATCGAACATTCCATGCAGACGTGCCCAGGAAATGGATCCAGGGCTGGGGTGCTTGGATGCAGAGGAAGGTCTGAGGCTGCATGGATGCTCATCGGCTCTTATTGAGTTTGGGGTTGGGGCTCGAAACCTGAGAAGCTGACATTCACTGGGTCAAACCCTTGGTCCAGTGGACCCAGTATGGTCAGCACTGCCTGACAGCCATGGCTTTCCAAGAATTCATCCAGCCCTTCCTAGGTTTGCTGAGGATCACATTGAGACCTTCCACAAGCCAAACAAGTGCCATGGAGCCCCACAGGAAGTGGGGCTGGATCCTGCCCTGCCATTTCCCGAAATTTTACCAGTACCCATCATTAGCACTGCTGTAAGTCCCTTGAATGAAGGCATATGCATCTCAAACTGGTAGTCATAGAATATAGAATCATAGAATAATAGAGCTGGAAGGAACCAAGAAGGCCAACGAGTCCAATCCCTCCTGTTGCAGGACACCAGTCACACCACCCCACTCAGAGGGCTGCCCAGTTCCTTTTTGACCTGTTGACCGCAATAATTCCAAGGCCCTTTTCCTTGTCAGTTCTGTTGAGCCACGTATTCCCATCTTGTATTGATGTTTCTGGTTTCTTTTCCTAGGTGGAGGACTTGGCACTTGTCCTTACTGAGTCTCATTCTGTTGCTTTCAGCCAGTCTTCAAGTTTATCAAGATCGCCCTGGATCTCCATTCTGTCGTCTAGGGTGTTTTCAGTCAGCTGAAGTGAGGCATGATCAAACAAAGTTAAGTACTTTTGAACTTCATTAACAGGTCTAGGAAAATTCAGGCAGTGCTGAAATTTTTCTCATTCCAATCAATTATATTTCCCCCTATCCAAAAGCACTTGAATTTTTTTCTTTTAAAAAAGCACTCTAAGATTAAGATTAAGCCAAGCATGTTGAAACCAACTCAAATCCTGCTAAATTAGCTGCTGGGTACTAAGTGGAAATGGAGTATCTTAAACAGAAAACAATAGTATGATCTCGCCCTAGTAATGGGAATCCCACACCTTTTTCTTTTCAGTTGTCCTGAAAGCCACATGTGAGCTGAAGCAATTGCTCCTTAAATAACCCCAGCATTTGTTGTTTCCCAAGGTATTTTTGGACCCCAGGCACAAAACTGCTTCTGGCCAGGCTTGTCCTCACTCTAGAAGGTCGCAGTCGGACCGAGCGGTTCTCCTACAAGGTTGCATTCATCATAAGAACAGAGTTCAGGATTCAGCCTTTGCAGGGAATTCAGAATTAATCTTCCTTGCCTCTGGGCACAATCAACATGAGAGGCTGTGGACTCTCCCACATGCAAGGCATTCAAAGCAAAACTAGACAGTCATCAGAGTGGGATGGTGTGAACCGGTGTCCTGCCACAGCAGGGGTTGGACCCAAGGACCTTCTTGGACCTTCCAACTCTACTATTCTATGATTCTCCCGTGATCTCCCATTTAACCTCACAAAAGCCTCCCCATTGCATTTCAGAGCAGCCTTGTCTCAATGGATTTTCTTTTCAAGGAGGTTTTGCTCTTCTTCCTGACAACTGAAAGAGGCCAAGGTGACCTGCACTTAACCTGCCTTTGTGCCCCAAAGGTTTGGGATCTAGAAGCACCCTCACTGCAAATGTTACGCAGCTTTAGAGAAATTTCTGTGCAGATGTGGAGATGTTTTATTTATTTATTTATTTATTAAACTTATATTCTGCTGTATTGGCCCAAGGGCCATCTAAGCAAATTACAATGAGATAAAAACACACTATCACTTTTAGAGAAAGATTTATGGAAAGAAAAGCGTCAAGGGCAGGTAGCGGAAAGTTGTGGGTGACCATGTCATAGGAGGAGGAAATGGTAGGTCTGCTTTATACAACAAATGGCAAGCTTAGCTTGGAAAGACCCCAGGGGCCAGGTGAGTGTATTGTCCCATCTCCAATCTTCTAGTCAAGGCAGGGGAGGATGTGAGCCAAGGCCACCAAACTTCTGTGATGAACTGACTGGTAGAACAGCTTCCCCAGCTTGGTGCCCTATGGATTGTTTGGACCACACCTCCTATCATCCTCCACCAGGCTGAGGCTTAGGGAGGTTGTAGCCCAACACAACTGAGCTGAAGACCAGGCTGAGGAAGCCTGAAGCAGAGCAGTGCCCAGCGCCAAAGTTGGGCTGTGATGCCTGCAGCTCGCTGGATTGCCATGGCAGCTTGTAAATGGCTCTGCGCATGCAGGTCACAGGCTGGGGGATCAGTGGGGCTCGTGTAATGCGAGCTGGACAGCGTGGTTGTTCTCACGTGCCATGCAGAAGCCATGCCTCGTGGCATATTTCTGGGAGGGTTCGACCCCCAGCAAGATGCCCCTTGGCCAACCCACATGACGGGAGAGGCTTCACTGCCAAAGATTTAATTGCCTCGAAGGCTGCCACAGAGAGGAAGGTCAAGGTCTCTTCTCACTGATAGCAGAGTGCAGGACACAGACTAATGAATTCAAGCTGGGACAACCCAGATTCAGGCTGGAGATCAGGAGAAGCTTCCTCACTGTCAGAGCAATAGGACAGTGGGACCAGCTGCCTAGAGAGGTGGGGGGCTCCCTCACACTGCAGATATTCAAGATGCAACTGGGCAGCCACCTGAGTGGGATGGTTTGACTTGGTGTCCTGCAACAGCAGGGATTGGACTCGATGGCCCTCGTGGCCCCTTCCAGCTCTGATGTCCTATGATTCTGTGAGGTCCTGGGCTAAGTCTGCGGGCTGGCAGGCAAGCAGCATAGCGCTGCCACATCAGCACCTGCAAGGCAGGAACGAAGGGTCTGCTTTCAAAGCATCAGGGCCCAATGGCTCCAAATGTACAGAATCTGCCGGAGAAGCTTCTGGAGGGTCGATGGCTAAGGCCTCCCGCCTTGGGCTGTGGAACAACATCTTGCAAACAGGTTAGGCTGACCAGCGGCTGATCAAGTTTGCATTCGGAAAGGTATCCCACCATCCAGATGACACTAAGCAGTGGCAGTTGCCTAGCCAGGCATGACTCCAGATGGGACACACTAAGTCCCCAGTTCGGTATAGTCTTGTAGGGGAAGCTCTAGGTTTCCTTCCAGCTGCCCAGTCTGAGCCTTGCCCTGCTTCATCTGCTCACGATGCTTCATCTCATTCCGGCTCTGGGTGCTGGGAGGCTCCCCAGAACTGCCAGGAAGCACAGAGGCAGATAGAGGGGGACAACTTGATTGTGTGATGCATTGCATTTCCTCCATATCTGGTCATCTCAGCCCTCCTTGGACTGGGATTCAAGGATACTTCATTTTTATTTCTAGGTATTGCCCCAGCTGGACATGGACCTGTATCTTCTTGATTCAGTGCTGAACAGGAAAAAATGCACTCACAGAAACCACATTCCATGTGATATGTGATATTTTAAAGCAAAGTAATCATGCGGCACTTGCTTTCCTTGCTTCCAAAGTGTGCTTAATGCATTTTGAAATGTCAGGAACCAGATTTTCTGTAATCAAGCGTCAGATGTAGCATTCCAATGGCCATTGAACTGCTTTAACATACATACAAGGTAGATCCAAATGAGATGTACCTACCAACCCACATCTGTGACTGTATGTCTCCTTGGTAACACCAGGAGAAAGAAGACTCCAGATGTGTGAGTCCATCACATCCGGTGCTTCCCTGTCTCCTCTCCACCTTCTTGACTGTGATTGGTGGAGGACGGACAAATGGCAAACGTGATGGAAGTGCATTGCACATAATTCTTCTTTGTTCAGGAAGGAGAGTGAGAGTGGTGGTCCCACATGCACCCCACACTGTGTAGGGTTGCCATATTTATCCAAATCATTGGTGAGGGTCATTGAATACAATAAAAACCTTCTGATCTACTGAAAAGGTGACCATGATTCCTCAGGAAGCAGGGCTGGGGTGCCATTTTGGTACGAGGTACGGTCTACCCAGGCTGGTGCCTTCCAAGGGTGTTAGACTGCAGCTTCCAGAATCTGGGAGCTGGCGGAGCTGGCTGGGGTTGGGGGAGTTGCAGGCCTCTGGTCAAGAGGGCCACCCTAGAAGGAAGAAACCGCTCTTCTGAAGCAATGCTTGCCCTCGCATACGCAGACAGCATCTGGAACAGACAGGATGTATTCCTCCACTTCTGCAGCTTCTCCATTTTCACATGAAATTTGATATAGACCTGAGCATGCACTTCTTGCAGAGGTTGAACTCAGACTGCTTAAAATTTAACCACACAGAACTGTCCTGCCTCGGGTGGGCTGCATGCAGCATCTTTTGCAGTCCATTATAATGGGCAGAGTGATTTTAAAAACGAAGGGATTGTGACAGACCGTCTCCAGATTTTGCTTGTGTGAGGATTGGAAGCAACTTGTTAGTTCCCCTACAGGTTAAAAATCTAAAGGAAGCTCCAAAGAGCTATGATGAAATGTCTTGGCGAGGTGGGAACCGGCATGCCCTTCACCTAGCCAGTGCAGCACCGTGCACAGAGATGTTCTCTTGCGCAAAATTCGTCGGCACGACTGTGTCCGACAGTGAATTCATACGCCATGGGGTGCCATTTGGCTTTTCTAGCTAGCCAACCCAGTAGCTGGGCCTGATCTGCGCAACTGCATGTGGACAGTTCAGCATTCAGAGCAACTTGCACAAGGCTTGGCCAGCAAATGTTTCCCAGGTAAGGCCTAGTTTTGAGCTGCAAGTTTTACTGGGGGGTACAAATGACCTTAGTAGTGGAGGGTCTGTTTTGCATTCAGACAATCCTGGGTTCTGTTTCCAGCACCTGCAGGAAGGTTTAGGAAAGAATCCTTCTTGAAGTGCTAGAGA